TAATCCATCTGATCTTTAATAAAACTCAAACGAGTTGGATTGATTGGTGTTAAATTGGCTAATTCATTCTTTAAATTTCCAATAAATTCTGATCTATTTGTTGAATCCAAATTAAATAAATTTGTTCCCTCTACATTGAGCCTCAAGATGCTATTTGCTGAATCTAAAGAATTTTAATAAAAAAATTAATTATTAAATAAAGATTAGTTAATTAAACCAAAATAAAATTTTTTTTACCTGAATATTTAATTGCCACATTATCTTTAAAATACAATCAAATTGTTAATTAATTATTATTATTATTTAAAGACACAACCATTAATATTTTACCTGTAGTAAATTTCCATATATTTTTATAAATTCCAATCAATGGTTGGCCAGTGGAAGATAATTTTAATGCACCATCCTCAACTACTACATAATATTTTGTATTAGGAAGATTAAATGTGCTTGTTAATACCCGAATATTTAAGCTTTTTTTATCATCACTAATTGTACAATATGAGGAATCAGCTGGGAATGATTGTCTCAAAATGACTTGTTCATTATTATTTATTTGATATATTGAAATATTGTTAATAGATGGAACTATTGGTGTATTGTATGTTACATTGATTTCTTCACTTCCTATTTCTATCACTCCATTTATTGATGGATAAGTTGAATCAATATTTGGGTTGCTATAACCTTTATCTAGTAATTAAAATGATTAAATTAGATATTAAATCTGACATTAATATTTTAATAACAAGTATAATATAATAAAAAATATTTTACCATCTGGTAGAAATTTGGAAACTTCAGTTGAGATTAATTGCCAATTTTTATTATCATTTTCATTCGGTATAATTGCAATAAATGTATTATTCTGGGTAAATATTCCATAATTTCTATTGAGTGTTGGAGGTCCTAAAGATTTACTAATACTAAATGATGGGACTGTCAAATTGCTTGGCAGATCTAAAATTGAATTTATCTTCAAATTATTATCTAATAAATATCCATGGATTGTATATTTATTTTTATATATTTCACTTGGTGAAATAACATTAAATAAAAATCCTCCATAAAATAGTATAGTTAAGTATGAACCAGTAAAATCTGGAATGTGATTAAATTCTAATGGTTCAGTTCCTGTAACAGCACTAATAATATTAGATTAATATCAATTAAGATAATACTAGAATTATGTTATTATATATCGAATAAAAGCCTACCCATCTGATAAAAATGAAATTTTCATCCAATAAGCCTTATGTTTTTTATTTTTCACAGTTAATTTCACAATACACATATATCTTGAACTAGTAATTGCTGAAGCACAATGCAAATAATCAATTGATAAATTTATATCTGTTGTTTGGTATACCAAAAATGGCCCAACTATTTCATCTTTGTTAGGATATATCAAAGAAACATATATGGATATTGGTGGTTGATTTGGTTTAATATTTTTTGTGCTATTGTTATTTTCAGTAATTGTTGTGTTAGCAATAACAAGTCCAAATCCACTATCCAAAGCTGGAAAATGTGAAGAATATAATATAACATCTCCATATTCAATTGGTGCTTGGGTAATAATTCCAGTTTTCAATTTGGTTATTTCTCCATTTTCATTTCTAAAAATATTTATTAAATATATATTTATATTTAAATTATTATAATTAATCAGTTCATTAAAAAACAATAATTACGGTGAACTGAAATGGATCCATTGATAATCATTTGAATTTGTTTTGAAGTTACTCATCAAGAATTCCCCATCAAAATTTCCATTTTCTGTAAGCATACATGGACCATCAGGTATACCATTAATAGAACTTGATTTGTCTATATAAAATTTGCTGTATCATATCAATAAATTAGTTTAATCAAAAAAAAAGTTAATTTTTGTTTTAATCAATCATGATGAATTATTTTACCTAATGAATTCTCCATTTATAGATAACAAAATTCCATAATTGGCAGATGAATTTATATCAGTAGAATTCATGTAAATCATTATTGCATGTTTTGGTCGTAGATTATTTATTGTTAGAGTAAACATAGGCCCCATCAGACCTATTGTGTTCTTACAAAAATTGAATTCAGGTATTGAATATATCTGGGTGGAAGTTTCAGTTGTTCCATTAGCATAAATAACTCTAATGTAGAATTTTGGTTCAACACATGTTTCATTAACAGGTTTAACCATATAATTAACTAGGGATCCATCTCCATAAAATAATGTATTAAATATATGAAGACCAGCTTCATTATCATTATATGTGGCAATATTATAAGAATTTGCAGGTTGATTATTTAGAACTACACAAAAAAGTATTAAAAATGCTATTGAACCAAAATTTTTTCCAGCCATTGTTATTTATAAATGGAAAAACCACTAGCAAAAATTATAACTATTTCATGAAAGACAAAAGGTGCGTAAGAAAATCATATTAATCTTAATATTTGAACATCATGAGCATTTATAAGAAAATTTTCACGTACGCGAATCTCTATATACTACGTGTAACATTTTGAAGATAATATTGTTTCAAATTTTTTTAATATTGTTCATTAATATGTTGTACACAATGATATTTCTATGTTAATAATAATAATTACTATTATTCTTTTTTTATATTTATTTACCATTTTACTATTTATTACAGTATTATGATTTTGAAATTAATGTAAGAAACGATGTAGAATTTCAACCAACTTAAGGGTAGAGTTCGGTTACACAGTAGATCATATGGCAAAAAAATTATTATGTTTTATTATTTTTAATCCTTATTTTTCTATTGAAATTGAGAAGCCATCAAGGAGAAAAGGATCGGGTTATATATATCTAATAAGCACGGTTGATGATTACTTAATAGTCGCGGAGGTCGTCTTGTTACCATTGCTATAAATGTTATCCTACAACGTTATTTATTATTTGTATTTTGATTTTTTTCAATTAAGCGAAAGATAAAAAGAAAAGATTTAATTCATTACACTGTTTAAAAAACGATTAACTGTAGTCATCATATGAAGATTTCATTATGTTGTTTTAAAAAGATTTTTTGGGGATGGGCAGAAATTCTTTACAATTAATAATCGAATTACAGTCCACTCTCCATAATAATAATAATAAACGGATCTTTGTATAACGTATACCGGATTGCATCTGAAGACCATTTCATATTAATATGACCTATATCAAATATATAAAACAACGCTTTCTATAACGGATTCACGTGATCTAAAAATAGAAAAATGCAAATCTCTATGGTTGGCTCGGTCTAAAGACCTCATATTGCTGCGCCACGTGTTCAAATTTCAAAAAAGCGATTTCGTGATTCATCAAAAATGCAATAAAATTTTTTAAAAAAAGGGTTTCACGTGATTTTGGTTAAAAAAATTATTTTCTTTACTGCCAAATTTAGATATGATGGTCGAGTGTTAGTCTAAATTTAGTAATTATAATCAAAAACTAATCTAATTTAGCAATGATCCCAGTGCTCAAATTTCTCATGAGCATAGTAAATTACATGTTTTAAAAAAGAGTAGAACTCTACAACAAAGAATTTTTTGAGAAAATCTCTTTATTACATTAAAACTAAATACATATTCTATCAACTAATAGAGTTATTTTTTTAAAAGATAGGACAGAAAATGACTTCTATATTTTTAAAATTTGCCCAAAATTTAGGAGGTCTTTAGACTGAGCCAACTATATGCAAAATATGATCCACAACTAAATTGAAAGTTCATATACAATATTCTTACATACCAAAATCTGAATCATTTTATTTTACAGCTTTCCTCCTAACATCAGAGCCCAAATGCAATTTCAGAGCCACCAACCCCACCCCAAACTGTGTTTGAAATGAGTTGCAGATTCTCGTTGCTTTGATTGATTTGGATGTTTATGTGCACCTAATATCACAACTCTTCAGAATTGTGACTTGATCACAGAACCATCCTTACCCTAGAGGCAGGATCATTGCAGGAAACTTTTCGGCTAACATGCCAGCAGCCTACTCAGGTCTGGGAAGATTATCAATTGTCATTCTTGACAATTGATGCAGTCTCAATAAACTCCAGGGCCATGTCCCCTCCCCCTCGAGTTCAGTTGCATCATTGTATCATCAGAGGGAGCAGGTCAGATTAGCCTTATGTACATGAGGAAGATGTGAGAATGACTGTAAAGTGTTCAAGGTAGCATGTGTGCTTCAACATCTGCTAATTTCTGATAATCAAACACTGCATATTCAAAATGTTTCATATTTGAATTGTTTCTTTTTCTATGGTCATACTGTCTTGACATCTTCTTGTAATTATAATAATATTAATAAAATTGATTATGCAAAGCAAAATACCAATTGTTCATTCGTTATCATCTTGATAAAGATCTTATACCACATTTTGATTCCAATTAAAATATTTATAAACTAAAATATATATATATATATATCAATACAAATAAAAAATAGCACCTCTGTCATTAACACATCTTCAGAACCAAATAACAACAACACTCACATTTCCTCATCTTGGACTCTTTCAAAAAATAAATTGTTTTTCCAAAAAAAAAAAGCTTTGTGCAACACCAAGTGCCAATAATAATAATATTTTGTTTTACATGTTTTTTTTTAAAAAAATTAAAAAATAATGCCTCAAAAAAACACAAAAAGCAAAGAGATGAAAAGAGACCAAGACAAAAGATACATATGGGTAAGTGTTTATTGTAAGAATGGTGATGGTTATCACCACTCATCGTCAGATCAGCACTTTCTTCCAAGATCCTTCTGGCATAAAGACAACAAAATTTATAGAGAACTTCAGGAATTAAATGACAACTCGGGAATAATAAGTGATGACTCCAAAAAAACATTCCTTCACAATAAGTGAATTGTTAATATTCATTGCTCATGTGATTTAAACTATATACCAATGTATGTATGATTATCTTTTGAATGATATTCTTCAATTTTCTTAGACTGCAATTTTATTTCCTTTTATAATACAAGTAACTCTGATGAATCAACTTCCAAAGGATCGAGTTCTGATGTAAGTTTGTGTTATCCAAAATTCAGGTTTACAAGTAGAAATAAGGAATTAAACTTTTTTCTTGCATTGATACTTTTTAGAAAGTAAGAAGGATCCTCCAAAAATTGACAGATGGTTTTTCGGAAGACTCATGATGCTATCCCGGATACCTCAAAGTTGAAATTGAGCACAGGCAAAATAGTGGAGGATATTCTTTTTAATTTTTCTAAAGACATGGATTATGAACAGTAAGTTTCTAAATTCTTTTATCTTACCATACACAATACTGACAATGGTTTGATTAGCCATACTCATTTGTATATTGTGGATTTTGATGATGAGAATATCAAAGCATTGTTTACTGATTCAGAATGGAAAGAATTAACAAAAGATTGAATTGGGGTTCCAATTATTTCACACAACATTACAAAAGAACTGATGAGATGAAAAAAGTACTTTAGAGGATTTACACATAGTAACAATGACATCATTTCTTCAAGAAGAAAAATACAACATTTGTAAACACTATGATAAAGCAGGGTTGGCAAATGTGCAGTCCATTGATGGTCTATTGGTGGTCCATTGGGTCCATTAGTGTAACACTTTGACCATATTTAGTATTTTATTAATTGCAATGGACCAGTCCAAAATCCATCTGTTCTCAATGGACCAGTCAATTTGCCAACTCTTTGATAAAGAATGGATTCAATTGACCATTCGAACACTTGTAAATCTATATGAAAACATAGATGCTCCTCTAATAAGAATACAATACGAACATTGGTTTACAGTTGCACTTCTTGGAACATGCATTGACTTCTGTCTTAGGGATATTAGATTGGGAACTGATATTAAAATGTTAACTATTTTCTACTAGTATAAACAATAAACCATCATCAACTCATATTTTTAATATAGCTTATAACTGTATACAGGATTGATGCACCATCATCAAGTAGTGCTAACCAGAAGAATAGAAATTGAAAAGTAAATACATGTAAAAGAAAGTCCGTTGGTCATAAAATTGATGGAATAATATATACAACTGATGAGCTTCTCAAATTAGGAGCCATAGAAGGTGCAAGGTCCTTTAAGGGTGTCTCAGACAACAAATATCTTGATGAAGAATTCAAAATGCCAAAGTCTCTTCAAGATATGTATTCTGGTTTGATCAGAGCTGTAAATTATGATGATCAAAGAGCAGACAAACTCCAAGTAATTGGTATATTACACCTTGGATTATGGATTCAATTTGTAAGATTATGGTGTGCCGGAGGATCGATTTGTATTTTTTGCAAAGATCCTCAATCTTTCAACATACATAGCAAATTCTCAAAAAATGGATTAAGATCTTTCTTAAATTTCTAGCAAGGATATATCAATACAAGGTATGAAAAAGATTATTGAAGCTATTTACTTCTCTTTCATATACTAATTATTTTAATAGATTATTATCAAGAATAACCTACAAGTTCTGGATATTCTGAATAATGATGATGATAATGATAATGGTGAATCATATGATTTGTTAAAAGAATTAAATGAACAATGTTCTACTCCACCTCCTACATCAATTCAATTTTTTGCCAATTGTGAGAACACCCCTAAGAAGAAAAGAACTAATTCAAAGGAAAAGAATCCAAGGCAAAAAAAAATCAAATCAAATCATCTGTGACTTAACTACTCTTGTGACAAACCAATCTAAAATGTAATATAATATTTTTTAATAACTAGAAGAAACTTAATATATATAATAAATAAATATCAAGGTAAAGATGGTAACAAAAGTTCAAAATATTATGGTTCAACCCATTGTAAGAAATATTTCTAAAATAACAAGTTAAATTATTTTGTCATTTCATATTCTTTAGTAAGCATCATGATTTTTAATGTTGTGAAATTATTGTTCCCGGTAATTATTTTGTCACATTTGATAATGGCCGTTATTAAATAAAAAACTAATAATTAAATAAATTATAATTAATTCCTCTCAACCTGTTCCAGGGTCCCGATATTTGTGCCAAAGAAATAAATGTAAATAAAAGGCTAGTTTAATTAAATAAGTTTAAGAATCAACAATTATGATATAAATATGTAAATAACTTTGAAGTTACTTGATATTTTAGTCAAAACATTTAATGAAATTTTCTTTTAAGAAATAAAAAATGTCAGTTATAGATAATAATAATAACCAATTTTTGTTTATGCTTTACTAAATCTCATTGAGTTTTTTTATAAATATTAATAAATATATAAACGTTTGCATATATATATATGCCTATATATATAATATAAACAAAAATGAGCTAAATTAACCAAACCCGTTGGTTTCAATTGGCATATCACGAACTTTAGGATTTAGTACATCCCAATTTTTATAAAGTTGGTGTGTGTATTTCATTTGTTCATTTATAAAGTTTCGATATAGAAGTGAGACGAATGCTGAACTTTTATGAAGTAGATTGAGTTCTGAATGCATACAATAACGTACAAAATTTTGTTTTCTAAGTTGAACTTTAAGATCACCTTCATCCTAAAATACGAGAAAATGTGAAGTGTGAGAAGTATTAAATATTAGAGAATAGATATTAGATATTAGAATAAATACTAGATGCTAAATATTAGATAATGAGGATATGGGGATATAGGGATGACGGAGACATATTGAATATTAATATGCACAATATATATATTTAATGAAAATATTTAAATATAAATAAGGAATGTATAATAATTTTGTTTATAATATGCAAGCATATACATACACAAGTATGCACACAAGCATATAATATATATATATTACCTTTTGAATTGCAGATGCCAATTTCTCTACTTCCGGATCTGATGTTTTTTGGCTTGATAATGATTTAAGTTTTGCTTGATTTATTGATATTCTATTATTAAGAGTCTCACTAGTATCAATTACTAATCTATCCCTTCTCTCAAACGTATCCTGGTATATATTATATTGATCAAGTGATTAATTAAATATTAATGTAATAGATATTATATAGATATAGTGGTAGAAATTATTATTGATATAAATAAATTTATTTAAAATTTAATTATAATATCACACCTTGAATGACAAGAGTAAATCTCGATGTCTCTTCAAATCCTCAAGAACAGTTTCAAGAATAGATGTAGCCTAATTGATTGATTGATTCACAAATAAAATAAGCATTAAAGACGTTTGTAATATTAATTATAATAATAATTACAATTCATAATTCAGTTATCAATTACTTACAGCATCTTCCATGATGGTACTTGCATGTTGAAAATGACTTGATACTTGTTCTAAACCATCCATCATCTGTGAACAATTACAACAATTTTCTATGAAGCAATCCTTCTCATTCTCAATCAATGAATTTAAAGACAAACTATAACGCATATAATCAGATGCTGTGCCTTCTTGAGAACGAGCAATACGTTCCATGAAATTACACATATTTAAGTAATGTTCAATAGATTGATCCAAATTATTATATACACTTTCTAACCTTGCATTCAAATCCCCAGGTATGCGTTGTTCCATTTGTGATGAAATTTCTTTTTTAAAAAACTCTTCATCTAAATCTGGTGCATTATTCCTACGCCATACTGCTATTTCCTATAAAATCGTAAAGTATGAAAAGTATGAATGTAGTTCTATTATAAATATAATATATATAAAAATTAATCGATATTTACAGTTTGTTCGGTTAAAAACATTTCCACTAAATCATCATTTTTTAAAACTGGATGTCTTGCAATAAAATTCAAAAATCTTGCCAAGCCTTTCCGCCGTTTCTCCAAAAATGCTTCATCATGTGTGAAATAAAATACGTTAACTATGATAAATAGTAATTTTGTTAATTTATATCTATATTTAAAATCACCTATATATAAATAACACACATATGTACAAATCAAATATAGTTACCTCCAATTTTTTTGGGTGGTAAGATAGGTAAGATTCTAAATGGATATCTTTTCACCAAACATTCCATTAGCCACCAAAAATCACTATATCTTCTTATAACTTTACTTTCTTGTCTCTATGTATGTATCATAATTATATTTATATATTTAAATAAATATTTATATTTTATTCATCTTTTCTTCTCAAATATATTGATCATTTACCTGTGATTCAACAATGTAATTAACATGTTTGAATAGAAAACCTTCATGTTCAGGAGCAAATTTCACTTTAATGATACCTGCATCTAGAAACCAATGAGACTCACGATCATCTAGTATCAAAGTCCTATTAATATTTGGTAAAATAGTACTTGCACCGTTGCTATCACTTGGAAATCGTGATATTATTGTATTTGATATGATTGGTGAAAAAGTTGATGTCATAGTTTCTCCTGATATTCCTATTGCAGCAGACGTTGATGGTGATGATGTTATAATGTCAATACCATTCGTTGTTGATGAAATAGCCCAAGGATCATCATCCTGAAGAACCAGAATTGATGATGGACGAGATGTGATATTAGAGAAACTTAAATTGCGATTAAAATCGATACTTTCTATATTTGTAAGGATTGGTTCGGGAAGATCTAGATCAAATGTAATTGATTATTTGTTTATTTTTTCTTTTTGGTAAAAATTAAAATGAAATAAAATAACATTGAAGATTTATTTCTACCATGTTTTCTCTCAACCAGGTTATCAATTGAAACATCTACAAAAAAAATTTAAAATAATAATAATATATTTAATAACATCACCCTCATCAAAATCTTTAAGTAATTAAAAGATCAATCACAAATTTTGTTTACCCATATTTTTTTGTGCCAAAGCTACTAACGCAAGCGCAACATTGAATTCTCCTCTGTTGATACAAGTACTATTAACAGGTACTGCTAAATTTATAATCTAATAATTATTAACATATATTATTATTATTATCACCATCACCGTTATTATTATTATTCAATTACCACTTCAAGTAAAATAATGATGGATTACCTTTTCGATTGTTGCATGAGATAAACCACTAATACTTAAAATTTTGTTTAAAGCTGAAATAGAAACTGACCCACCACTTGGAGAAGTTAGTGCAAATGTAGTTGCATATACATCAGGTAAATAAACATCAGCTAATAATGGAAAATAATAATAAAATTATCATTTGTGAATGCAATTATTGAGTATTTCTTTATTTAAAAAACCTTACATAAAATGTTGGAAACATCAATTCCATTTATTGAAGGAAGGTCCCAAGGATTTCCAATGCTAATGTTTAAAGGCTCAGTGAATAAAGAAGCTGACAATGATTTGCTGACTTCTTTAATAATTTCTGAGTCTGGTGACAGTCTAGAATCAAAATGAGATGTCTCAAAAAATGATTTAGACAATTCGTCCATATTATTATTTTATAGTTTTTTATTTTATTC